GACGTTTGCAACAAGACTGTAATGGGTTCTGCCGGCCGTGCCAGGGGTCTGCGGTGACAGGACGCAGGGTAACGCGGAGGAATTGAGAAACCACTTCTGTAATTTGGGGAAAAGAGACGGTTTGGATTTGATAATTTTAAAGTAACTTTTTATTAATGAGCTTAAAGCGGATTGGCCTGGTAACGCATTAAAAAAAAAAAGTGTAATAGTGGTTAATGGATGGAAAGGCTGCTAAAAACAGCGGACCGATCGCCGCGTAGAGGTGCATTGCTGGTGGTTTTGCAGTGCGGGTCAGTTGGAGTTTAACCAGCGCCATCGAATGGTGGTTATAAGTAGATAGTGATGTGTGTGTCGCTCCTGCAGCTGCAAGGCCTGCACTAACACTGCTTCTTATGGTTCTCTCCCGACTGGCAGGACACATGGAGGAAGGACCGGACCTTGACTTAGGTAATTGTCACTGCTCAGCCCCTCCCAGGTTGCGGCGTGGAGATTGCTGTGCTCATCCCAGCTCGCAGAAGATGCTGCCCCGTATCTTGCCCTCCTGTAGCAGGAGTACAGAGATGCTCTGCTCTTTGCAGTCTCTTTGGGGCGGTTTCGTCTGCTTCTTTATTCCTGATTCATCAGAGCGCTTGGACTGGTGGGAGCCCACGCGTGTTTGGAGATGCTTGTGCTTCTCCGTGGAGCTGGGGGCTCTTGCCAAGGAGCTGCTTGGAGCAGCAGAAAGCACGTCCCAGGCTGCAGCAGTCTGGGGCTTGTAGGCGCTTGTCCAGCAGTCTCCTTCCTCTTATAACATCCCAGAATGGTTTGAGTCGGAAGGGGCCCTCAAAGGCCGCCTTATCCAACCGCCCCTGCAACCAGCAGGGACGCCCACAGCCCCATCAGCGCCCACCTTGGTGTCTTCAAGGATGGGCCACCACCACTTCTCTGGGCAGCCTGGGCCACCCCTGCCCTCAGCCCTTTGCTTCCTCCTGCACAGCCGCGTTTGGTAGCTCCCCATCAGCACAGGGAAGGAGGGAATTATTGCAGCAGGAGGGGGTGAGCGTCCCTGCACGGGACCTGCAGGCTGCACAGGCGTGCTGTGCCTTCGGCTCTCCCTCCTGCCCCGTTGCACAGGTCTCACACTGCAGCCGGGTGGCTCTGCAGCAGGGAGCAGACGGTGCAGCTCAGCCCTCAGCGCTGCTCTCAGCGCCTGCAGTTCCGTGTCGCTTCGTAAATGCACTTATTGAGAGAGAAGCTGCAGCTGGCTGAGGGCTGACGTGCTGGCAGTGCTGCGCTGCTGGATCGCTGCCTCCTGCCGCTGCCTGATGCTGAGGTTTGCCCCCTAGGCCCACCTATGGACCCGGATGAGGACTCGGACAACAGCTCAGTGTATGTGCAGGGACTCAATGATAATGTGACCCTGGAGGATCTGGCAGACTTCTTCAAACAGTGCGGGGTTGTCAAGGTGAGAGGTGTGTGTGTGTGTGTGTGTGTGTGTGAGATGGCACAGAGCACAGAGAAGGGGGTTGGCTGCCTCCTCCCTGCCAGCTGTCCCATTCAGCCCCATCCATGGAGCTGAGCAGCTCTGATGGGCAGTGAGGTCAGCACAGCCTGGGACCGCCCTGTAGCACAAGCTCCCCAACAGAACCTCGGCAGGGTTTGCCCCTCTGCTCCTCCGTCGGCCACGCAGAAGCTGCAGGGCTCACAGACTCAGAGGAAGCATCCCTCTGTGCATCTGCTGCTGGTGGGATGTGTGACAGCTTGAGAGAGCAGGGTGGTGGAGAGAGCGGAGGAGGATGTGGGGAGGCTGCAGCTCAATTCCTGCTCTCGTGGGAGCCTGCAGGAGAGGCTGCTGGGCCAGTTCCTGCATTTGGTTGGCGTGGTAAGCCAGAGGGCCCTTTCTCCTACCACAGAGCTGCCAAGTGGAACCGTTATCTGAAATCAAAAGCAGAACAGAGGAGAGAATCCCCACTCAGTGTGTACAGGGACGTGTGATGCCTTGTAATAATGCTTTGCTGTCCTGCTAGATGAACAAGAGGACTGGGCAGCCCATGATACACCTCTACATTGACAAAGAAACTGGCAAGCCAAAAGGAGATGCCACAGTCTCTTATGACGACCCATCCACTGCCAAAACAGCTGTTGAGTGGTTTGATGGTGAGTGTGGGCTGTGATGTTTCAGGGTGGCCCTTCTGCTCTGCAGTTTCCCATGGGAGTATGGACTCCGTGCACCTGTGTGTGCTCTGGGAAGATGTGTGTGATATCGGGCTCTACAGAAGCACAAAATGAGGCTCTTGCCTTTGTGTTCCTCCCAGGGAAGGACTTCCAGGGCAGCAAGCTCAAAGTCAGCCTCGCGCGGAAGAAGGGCCCGATGAACAGCATGAGGGGCGGGATGCCCCCACGGGATCAGCGGGGGATGCCTCCCCCTCTCCGTGGAGGTAACACCCGCTTCCCTCGGGCTCCTGCGGGGCTCAGCCTGCAGCACAGCATCCTCCACCTGCAGCTGCTGCCCGGCGCTGTTAACGGGGCTCTCCTTGCAGGTCCTGGGGGGCCTGGAGGCCCGGGGGGCCCCGGTGGGCCGAGCGGTCCCATGGGCCGGATGGGAGGCAGAGGTGGCGACAGGGGAGGCTTCTCCTCCAGAGGACCACGGGGATCCAGGGGAAACCCCTCTGGAGGCAGCGTGCAGCACCGTGCCGGGGACTGGCAGTGCCCCAACCCGTGAGTACCGCCCGCCCTGCACAGAACACCTTCCTTTCCTTTCCCTTCTGCGGGGCTGTGGGACGCCGTCCATCCCAGCGCAGGGGGGCTGTGCTGGCTGAGGCACTGGCCAAGACCTGCGGGTCTTTCTCCTAACGACTTGCTGGGTCTTCGGGGAGCTTCTTTCCCCTCCCCGGAGCGTGGAGCATCGCAGCCCCGTGCTGCAGGCTGGGGGAGCCGGGCTGCGCGCCGTGCTCCGGGTCCCGACATCCCCCTGCTGCGTGCGGGTGGATCTGTGCCCTGCAGCGCTGCTGGGTGTCACCCAATCCTGCTCCTTACCGACTGCTCTGTTATGCGTAGGGGATGTGGAAACCAGAACTTCGCTTGGAGAACAGAGTGCAATCAGTGCAAGGCTCCTAAACCAGAAGGGTTCCTCCCACCCCCTTTTCCCCCTCCAGGTACGTGGGGCTGAGTTCACAGCAGGGCTGGGTCGGTGGCACCGGCGGTTTTGCGGCCGCCGTGGGGATGTTGAGGGAGCGGCAGCTTCCTGCCCCCCGGGCAGCCGTGCTCTGAGCTGCGAGGCGGATGCACGGACTGCTCTGCCTGCAGCCCTCGCACGCTTCCCCGCGGCCCTGTGCCGCGCGTCCCTTCTCCAAAGCACCGCTTTCACCTCCTTGCTCCCCAGCGCTGCCCTCTCCGTGAGCCCCTCGTCCCTCAGCTCCGTGGTTTTCCTTTCTGCCATCCATCAGCCGCTCGGTCCCCCTCCAGCTCAGCCGCTGCCATCCTGAGCCCGTGGCCGTACCGCCTGCGTGCCCGGAAGCTCATCCTTCGCTGCCCACCGGGGTGCCGCCGCCCCCCGCGGCTCTCCTTGCAGCACGGCGCGCCCCGGCTGCGATGCGGCGAGCGGGAGGGGGGCTGCGAGGCGCTCCGGCGCTCCCTGCTCTGAAGCTTTGCCTCTCCCTCAGGTGGAGACCGCGGTAGAGGCGGCCCCGGGGGAATGCGGGGCAGCAGAGGCGGCGGTATGATGGAGCGCGGCGGCCCCGGCGGGATGTTCAGAGGCGGCCGCGGCGGAGACAGAGGCGGATTCAGGGGCGGCCGGGGCATGGATCGAGGCGGCTACGGAGGAGGGGGCCGGCGAGGAGGGGGCCCCGGGGGTCCGCCCGGCCCGCTTATGGACCAGATGGGAGGAGGAGGCAGAGGCGGAAGGCGCGGAGGCCCGGGGAAGATGGACAAGTATGTGGGGAGCGGGCGGGGGGGAGGGCGAGTGGGAGCCGACGGGGCGCAGCGCCCCCAGACCCACGGAGCGGGAGCGGAGCTGGGAGGGCTGTGGCACTGACCGACTGCTGTGTGCTTGCAGGGGGGAGCACCGCCAGGAGCGCAGAGACCGGCCCTACTAACGGCACAGCCCGCCCGGCTGCATTTACTACCAGATTTATTTTTTAAAACCAGAAAATGTTTTAAATTTATAATTCCATATTTATAATGTTGGCCGCAACATTATGATTATTCCTCGTCTGTACTTTAGTCTTTTTCACCGTTTGTGGAGAAACATTAAAACGAAGTTCAACGGTAGTGTGCCGACTTCTTTTTTCCTCCTCCCCCCTTCTAAGAATGGTTGTCGAACTAAAACTGCCCCCCTCGTTGTGAGCATGCTCGTATCGCCGCGCAGCCCCCGGCGGCGCCGACTAATAGCTGTAACGATGTTGATGGTTGTGATGTTTCCTTTTTTCGGTTGGTTTTTTTTTTCTTTATTTTTCTTTTTTTTTTTTTTTTAATTAAAATAAAATTCCGAATGTTTATAAACGTACCACTGCTGGACTCTCTTGAGAACGTTCCCCCCTCTCCCCCCAAAGCCCTCGCAGGGTTCCCTGCTGCCCGCGCTCCGTGTGCTGTGACGGCTGGCAGCGGGGAGCTCCGCGCCGAGCCGCCCGCCCTGACGCCGCTCCGCAGCAGCGCGGGGTTCGGCCGCGGCTCCGACCCCGCAGCCCCGGCACCCACGGCTGGGCGTTGTTCGCTCGTTGCTCGGGGTGACACCCGGGGGTCCCAACGGCAGCGCCGGCGGCTCGGCCCCGCCTCGCTTTCCCCATTTTACGGGGCCGAGGCCGAACGCCGTTCCGTTTGCGGCGCGGGGCGACGGGCGCCGCTCCGCATCCCGCGGCTGCGATCCCTGCGTTGGTGCCCCCGCGTCCCCACGGCCGACGTCCCCCATCGTGTTTTCGCCTCCCCCCCCCCGTGGCCGCGCCCCCCATCGCAGCTCCGCAGCTCCGCGGCCCGGCCGTTGCCCCCGCCCCCGCCGCTCCCATCCCGGCCCTTTCTGGGCCGCCTCCAACTTCCCCGGCCGGGGTGCGGCGCGGCGGGGCTGCGGACGTTTTTGCTCTGCGCTCCGTTCTCTGCTCCGCTCCGCTGCGCGGGGCCGCGGCGGATGGCGGCGGGGGTGCGGGGCCGGGAGGCGGCGGCGGCGGCGGAGCTCCCCCGACGGTCAGAGCCCGGCCCGGAGCGGGGAGCGGGCGGCGGAGCGGCGCGGCCCGGAGGGAGCGGAGCGCGGAGGCGGCGGTGAGTGCCGGGATGGGGAGGGTTGGGGGCTGCGCGCGTGTCCCCGTGTCCTCCTCCCCCCATCCCCCTCCCCCCGGCCCCGCATCTGCCGCGCAGGTGCCGGCCCGCTGCCGCCATCCCCTGGGGCCGCGCTTCCCGTGGCCCCCCCGGCACCGACCCCCAAGGAGAGACCCCCCCCTTCCTCCCCCCCCGTATCCCCCAGCAAAGAGCTCCCCAATCAGAGCGGCCCCCCGGTAACCCCTCCACCGGTAACCCACCCCCCCGGACACATCAGAGCCCCCCACGGGCATGGGTCCCCAAAACGTTGGGGCTGAGGTGTGCCCCCCCACTCCCCCCACCCCCAGGCCGGGGGTTCAGCAGTTTCCCGATGGGGAAAGGCAGGTGGGAACCCCTGCCAGTGCAGCATCCCCACCAGGGACCCTCATGGGGTCAGCAGGGGGGGCTCCCCTCACAGCCACCCCCCAGCCCCGCAGATGACACTGGGCAGCTCCAGAGGGGGGGGCACCGCTGGGGACAGGGGAGTCCTTAAGCCCAGCTCAGGAGATGGGGGGCGACACGGGGTGGAAAGGACGGGGGATGCTGGTGGCAGCGGTGACATCCCAGGCTCTGGGGGGGACACGTGGCGCGGGGTCCCCTGTAACGCTGCCTTCCCCCCCATCCTCTGCAGCTCACCATGGCCGACCAGAGCAACATCCAGTCGGCGGCCTCCAAGAGCATCCGCCCCTTCCGCTCGAGCGAGGAATACCTGGAGGCCATGAAGGAGGACCTGGCCGAGTGGTTCAACGCGCTCTACGACCTGGACATGGCGGCTGACACCTTCCTGGAGGCGCTGGCCACGGGCTGCGACCTCTGCCAGCACGCCAACAACGTCAACCGTGTGGCCTTGGAGTTCCAGCAGCGGCACCCCGAGGCGGCCGCCCGCATCCCCCGCAACGAGGTCACCTTCCAGGCCAGGAACGTGGCGCCCGGCTCCTTCGTCGCCAGAGATAACGTCTCCAACTTCATCCGCTGGTGCCGGCAGGATCTGGGCATTCAGGATGTCCTCATGTTCGAGACTAACGACTTGGTGCTGAAGAAGAATGAGAAAAACGTCATCCTCTGCCTGCTGGAGGTGGCCAGGAGGGGCTCCAAATTCGGCATGCTGGCCCCCATGCTGATCCAGATGGAGGAGGAAATCGAGGAGGAGCTGCGGGACCAAACGTGCGGGGTGCTGGGGGCGCCCAGGGGCAGCCAGGCCCTGCGCCCCACGTCGCCCGCGTACCCCGGGCAGGCACAGCGCGTCTCCCTGTGCGACCTGAGGAACCTGGATGAGCTGGTGAGGGGCACCGCGGGGCTCTGGGGGGTCGAGGGGCTCCACGTCTGCCCCGCGGGGAGGGAGGGCCTCTGCGCGCCCAACAGGGAGCTGTAGGAGCGGCAGGGGCCGCTCTATCCATCCTACGCAGGTCTTTATGGCCAACGGGGAGCACTGTTGCCCATGGGAGGTCCTCTCCATCCACCCGACCCGGATCTCTGTGGTCTGTGGGAGGTTCTCTCCAGCCACCCAACCAGGCTCTCTCCGGCCTGTGGGATGTCTTCTCTATCCACTCAACCGTGCTCTCTGTGGTTCGTGGGAGGTCCTGGACAGCCCGGCTGGGCTCCGTGCCTTCCGGACGTCACGGGAGGGTTATTTTGGAGCCGTAATCACAGGGAAGATGTGGGTATCACCACCTCCTCCTCCTCCCAGGGATGGGGGTGACGCGGCTGCCGCCCCACACTGCCCTCCATGATGATCAGCAGAGGGATGCTGTTCCCTCCAGACCAGCCGCTCAGCTGGGATTAACACCGGGCTGGGCGCAGGATCCAGCCCATGCACCGGGCAGATGCCAGATTAACGGGGCTGGGGAGGGGTGGGAGGCTCTGCCCTGCTCTGATCCTCTAATCCCAAAGCCTTTTTTAATTGAAACCCAGTACCTCACTAAGCCTGGCAGCGTGCAGCTCGGAGGGGGACGTTGGGGAACGTGCATCCCACCTGCCCCGCTCCCCACAGCTGGGTGCTGCCAACCCGGAGTGCATTTTTCCGGGCTGCGTAATGCCTCTCCATGGGCTTTTATGGGCAGTGTTGGAGCCGGGGAGGAGCCTGGATCTGGCCTGGTTGCATCGGGGGACGCGGGGTCCCCAGGGCTGGCGGCACACGTTCCTGTGTCCCTGTCACTGTGGCAGGCTTGGGCCCACAGCTCCCACTGGCCGTACCCCCCGTGCCTCGGTTTCCCCACAGTTGAGGGGTTGGGGGCAATCAGATCTGGAATGATGAACAGAAAAGAGGAAGAAAAAAAGAAAAAAAAAAGGGGAAATGCTAAAAGAAACGGTGAAGGCAGCGATTGGAGTTGCAGGTGCTGTGGGCGCCGTCACAGCAGCCATTGCTGGGGTGGGTTCGTGCCAATGCCGAGCCCCAGCTTGACCCCACAGAGGAGAGGCTGTTCCTGGGGGTCCCTGCCCCCCACCCACCCCCCCCCCAGGCCGCTCTGTGCCCGCGCTGCACCACGCGCTGTGCCACAGCAGCAGCCAAAGCAGGATGCGGCCGCGTCCCCACATCCCCCCGCTGCCTAATCCCTGACGTCAGCCCGCTGCTGCTGCCGCTTCCAGCCCCGTGCACCTCGGTGACTTAACCCTTTTGTGTGCCTAACTGTGGGGGGGGGGCTGTGTGGTCCCTTCCCTGTGGCAGCATGGTGCCGCTGCCCCGTGGGGGTTTCCTTCCTGAGGGGATCCCAGCCGTGCAGTGGGTGCCTGGGAGGCTGCGGTGTCCGCAATCTGGGGTCCCTGGGGGGCTTTGGAGAGTGGAGCTGTGCTGGATGAACTGAGCTGTGTCCACTTGGTTTGGGAACCCACGTGAAAACTGATCCCAGGTCCACGTCTGGGCAGGCAGGAGGATATCAGGGCTTCTAAAATCCATTTTTATGGCTCCTTCCGCTGCCTGGCCGTGGGAAGAGCCCAGGGCCCCTCTCCCAGGGAGGCTCTGCGGGCTCTGCTCCCACCGCAGCACCGCCGACTGAGCTCTCATCTCTGCCCGCAGGTGCGGGAGATCCTGGGCTGCTGTACGTGCCCAGCCCAGTTCCCCATGGTCAAAATCTCAGAGGGTAAATACAAAGTGGGAGACTCCAACGCGCTGATCTTTGTTCGAGTAAGAGCCGCCGCGTCCCCGTCCCACTCCTTTCTCTGGGGGGTTGCTGGGGGGGCCTGGGGACACGGCGCTGGGGGCCCCACGTGGGGCTGAGCTGGGGCCGGGTTTGGTGCTGCGCCGCTCGGTGCCCCGGGCTGACCCTGCGGGGTGGGACAGGATTTGTCACGTCGGGAAGCGGAACAGGGAGCTGCGTCCTGGCACGGCCCGCAGATAGCAGCACTGCTCATGGTCAGCCCTGCAGTTCCCAAGGATTCAGGCAGTGGAACCAACCCTTGTCCCAGACATAGCGGGAAATCCTTTAACCTATCCAAATTCACACTAAGTTTATTCCCCACAAAATTAATCCTTCCCTTCCCTTCTCCTGAACCCCTCCGCAGCCCATCAGCTTGGGGCGGGCAAACAGAACCTGCTTGTTTTGGCTGGGGGGTGGGGAGCAGTGTGACTGGAGCAGTGTGACTGGTGCCGTGCTCTCCCCAGGTGCTGAGGAGCCACGTCATGGTGCGTGTCGGCGGTGGCTGGGACACACTGGAACATTACCTGGACAAGCACGACCCGTGCCGCTGCTCCTCCCTGTGTGAGTGACCCCCGCTGTCAGTCTGCCCCCAGCGTGTTTCACCACTCCCATATTTCCAGGGCTCCTTTCCCGTTGGGTTGGGATGGGCAGCTCAGGGCACAGATGGGACTGGAATGAGAAGAGAGCGAGAAAATGTTTGTTTTAACTGCCGGCAGACCCACGTGCAGCACGAGGGGTGGGAAGGGCCCCTCACTGACCCCACGCCGTTCCCTTCTCTCACAGCTCACCGCCTGCCCCCCGCCCGCACCCTGGCCTTCTCCCCACCAAAACCCGCCGTCAGCAGTGCCAGCCCCGCACCCCACGCCCCCAGCCCCAGCACCCCACGCCGCGCTGACGTGACCAGCCTTGGGGACAAGCGGCCACCAGGCTGGGGGGACGTCAACTACGGCAGGACAGAGCGAGGCAGCACCCCGAAGTCTGCGCCTGGAGCTGTCCTGCCCCCCCGGGCCCCCGCCAGCCCATCCAGGAGCCCCGCCAGCGCACTCAGGTAGGGCTCGGTGTCTGTGGGTGCTGTGGGGTGGGGGTCCTGCTGTCACCCCCTCCTGCTGTCACCCCTGCTGTCACTCCCCTCCCCTGTGATGTGACGCACAGTGGAGCCATTGAGTCGGCCGGGACGGGGGGGCACAGGGCAGGCCTGGCCGTGACACAGGGCCTGGCACAGCGGGACAGGATGGGGACGGCCCACTGCTATGGCAACGCTTCCCAAACTGACCGCTGCTGCGTGGCGGGGGAAGGAAGCCAGGCTGGGGCGGGCTGGGCTGGGAAACCTGGCAGCTGGGAACGCCTCAGCTCCACAGCATGGTCACAGCCCTATAGGAGGACTTCAGCCCCACAGCATGACCTCAGCCCTATTGCAGGACCTCAGCCTCACAGCAGGCCTCAGCCCTATAGCAGGCCTCAGGTCTATAGCAGGGCCTCAACCCCACAGCAGGCTCCACAGCAGGCCTCAGCCCTCAAAGACAGCCCCTCTCCACAGCAGGCCTGGGCTTCACAGCAGCACCTCGGAACCATGCAGGCCTTGGCCCCACATCACCCCCCGCACCCCCTTCAGGCCTCCCCCCTTTCCCCCCCCACAGCCCCAGCTCCGCCCCGCTGCTTCCCGCCCTGCTGGTGCGCATGCGCACTGCTTCCCGCCCAGCTGCCGCGCAGGCGCAGTGCTGCCCTCTTGCGGCCGCGCGGCGTGCGTGCAGGGGCTGCGGCGGGGGGTGCGCGGAGTGCGGGGCTGCGGGGTGGGGGTGCGGTGGCAATGCAAGGGGCGTACAGAGGAATGCTCTCACAGGCTGAGCCCTGTGAGCACACAGGGGGATGCAAGAGGTCAGGGGGAAGGCAGTAGGGCGCACAGTTGGGTGCGCATCGGGGCGTGCGATGGGGCATGCAATGGGTTGTGCAGTGGGACGTGCAGCAGGTGCATGCAGTTGCCCTGCCCTGCCCCTCTCTCTCTCCCCGCTCCAGGCCCCGTGACTCCACCCGCACCCGCCGTCACTCCGGGGACAGCGACTCCTCATCAGCTTCATCGGTGGGACCCCCGCGGGGTCACCGCCCTCCGCCCGCTGCCTGCCCCTCTCCGCGCCGCCCGCCGCCGGGACGCAGCCGCTCGGGTGACCGCAGCCCCCTCCCCCTGCGCACCGCCGTCGCTCCGGGCAGCGGGGAGGAGCGCGGCCGGCCGCGTGTCGCAAACGGGCCGGGGCTGCCACGTGCCCGCAGCCAGGGCCGGCCCGGCGCTGACGCCGTGCTGCTGATCCGACGCGGACGCGACGGGCAGCACTCGTGGACACGTGCTGACAGCGCGCCCCGCGCCGCGATGCGGCCCTCCGGCCCTCGGCGCTCCTCTCTGCCCGGGGACGGGGCTGAGGACAGGGATGGGGACGCCTTCCAAGAGGAGCTGGAAGAGCTGGCGAGGAGGCTGCGGGCGCCGCTGTGCCTGGAACCCGGGCAGGAACAGCAGCTGCTGGGGCGGCTGGAGGAAGAATTTTTGGCCAACACGCGGCTGATGGAGCTGGGGGACGGTGAGCCCTCGCCCCCCACCCGCCCCACGCACGGGACGTTGGAGCCTGGCAGCGGGGCGGCCGCCGACTCGGCTTACTGCTCCTCCTCGTCCTCTTCATCCTCCCTCAACGTGCTCAGCAACAAGCACGGCTGTCTGCCCGAGGACGGCCGTCGCAACGGGGGTCCCCCGGCCGCCCCCCACCCGCAGGAGCGCTGTGGCCGCCCCTCCAGTTCTTCGGATGAGAGCAGCTGCGTGCCGGCCTCCGGTGCCGAGTCTGACCCCGAGTGGGTGCCAGCAGTGGAAGACGAGGGGATGGAGACCGCGGTCGTGCCGGGGATCCCCGTATCCCCCGCCCTGCGGCCCTGCGCCCGGCCTCGGCTGGACGCGCAGCCCGGCAGGAAGCCCACCCGCATCCCTGCACCCCGGCCCCCCGCCGGCCCCCCACCCTGGAGGGCGCTGCACAGCGTCCTGGCCTCGCTGCTGGAGCCTGGGAGGGCACCGCGGGAGGAGGAGGGGCTGCAGGAGGACGCCTGGCCGTGAGAAGGACAAGGTGGTGGCTGCGGCCCCCCGGAGTGGGATGTGCGGGCACTGGGGCACGGTGGGAATGGATGCTGTCACGGTGGCGCTGGAGGGGGCTGATGAACCTGGGTGTGATCGCAGTGCTGCCAGGAGCTGTGTCACGGCGTTGGGAACGGGTCTGGGAGCAGCCAGCTCTGCTCAGCTCCTCTGCTCTTCAACCTTCTTCCTTCTGCTCCGTCCTGCTCCCCTCGCCTTCCATCCCTCCCTCTCTCCCCACCTGGGGACACGCAGCTCGTCACCATGACCCGTACCCAGGGGACGTCCCCTCTTCCCCTGCAGCATCTCCCCCAGCACGGGCTGCCCTGCAGCTCCCGGAGCCAGTAAAGCCCAAGGAAGGAGCTGAGCCTGCCTGCTGTCATCTGTCCACAGAGGTCTGTCCGTAGAGCTGCAGGTGCTGGGAATGGGGCTGCACTCTTGGCTTCCTGTGAAGCATCCCTGGCAGGGTGATGCCCACGGCTCAGGGCTGCCTGGGAGCACTTCCCCCCTTTGTCCTTTCCTGAGTCCTTCCCAGCACAGTGGTATCAGGGAAGTTCTTCACAGAGAGCGGTGAGGTGCTGGAACAGCTGTCCAGAGAGGCTGTGGATGCTCCATCCCTGGAGGTGTTCAAGGCCAGGTTGGATGGAGCCCGGGGCAGCCTGCTCTGGTATTAGGTATGGAGGTTGGTGGCCCTGCCTGCGGCAGGGGGTTGGAACCTGATGATCCTTGGGGTCCCTTCCAACCCATTCTGTGATGTGTTGTAATATATATAAGCTGAAGGTCTTCTGTTCCAAAGATGTGTGGCTGGGGTGGAGGTAATCCATCACACATCTGACATCATGAATAAAGAATGCCTGCTCGCTAACGCTGCGTTCAATGAGTTTATTCCCAACTTTGGGATGACAGGAGAAAGCCACAGAGACGTGGCCACCTCCACCCCAAAGCCTGCACTCTCCTTTGGCACAAGGACACGCAGCCAGCTCTCAGTGAACTTCAGCTCCTTGCCTGCAGAGCTGCTTCCAGCTGGTTCTGGGATTTCCACCTTTCCTCTTCATCCTCACCCCACTCTTTTCCCCCAGACCCACCCCAGGCACAGCCCCAAGCAGTCCCTGGTCACTTACCTCAGCAATAACAAGGACACAGCCCAGAGGAAGCTCACAGCATCATCCTTCCTCCCAGCCCACCCCTGACCCCCCAGACACAACGCCGGCTGTGTGGGCAAATGTCACCTTTATTCCAGGCTGGCTTAAAACAAGTGAACATAGAATATATTTATATTTTATATATTTATAAGGTATTTCACGACAGGGTCTGAAAACCTGAACCGGACGTTTCTATTGAGGAGTGATGGATGGCTTTATTTTGGGGCAGGGTGGACAATGTATGTCACCACCAGGACAGGGGAAAGGGCCCCTCCAAGTAAGAAGGGGGACAGGAGGGAGCTGCTCTGAGGCCTTGGGGTCCGTGCTGGTACCCCCCTGCAACCACAGGGAGCCCTGCAGGGGAGGGAAAAAGCCCTTTTTGTACAGCACACATGGGTAGAGAATTGAATTTGAGGTCTTGAGAGCATCGGGAGCACCACCCACGTGGGGAGACCTTCATCATGACCCACCCCAAGCTCTCAGGCCCCCAACCAGCCCCTATCAGGCTCTGAGCCAGCCCAGGGAGGGGACTCCCAGCACAAGAAGTGTTGGATCCAGATCCCCCCTGGGAGGGGGGGGGGGGGAAACAGAAGGAAGCAGAGCTGGGGAGGGAACAGAGGGCACAGCTGGGCTCCCTCCAGGAACAGCCAACAGAGAGGACAGGGCACAGTTCACCTAGGGGCTGAAATGTGGGGCAGGGGGCTGGGACACCCCCATCCTCTTCCTCCACCCTCCTGGGAAGCGACGGCTCCGTGCTCAGGGTAGAAAGAGAGGGAACATGCAGGCAGCTCCTGCCCCACCATCAGTTCTTCAGGATGGCATCGTAGGCCTGGTACACATACTGGGAGACCTCGGGAGCCCGGCATTTTAGTGACAGCTGGGGAAGAGAGGAGACACAGCCGTGTGAGGGCTGCAGTGTGCAGCCATGCCCCATCATCACAAACACCTGCAGGCCACACCTGAAGGCTCAACACACCCATGGGAAGACATCAAGCTGCTCCCAATGCCCTCCCCAGCCCCACAGCAACATTCACGTGCAAGGAAGCAGGCAGACATCTTGGCTCACGCTTTCACCCTCTGCCTGTGGCTCCCCTGGGCATTGCCCCAAAGACATCTCCTAACCCTGCCTTCGTTCCAAAGTTGTTTTTAATGTCTCAATGCTCTCAGCTCCTAGAGTTGCAGGGCAAAGCTGAGCACGTATGCACAGGACAAGGACCTGCAGCTACACTCATCCAAAGCAGATTCACAGTAGGGCAGGACTGATGGAAATGGTCAGACCCTGCCAGACCGTCAGGGAAGGGAAAAGCAGCCAGGTACAGCCCAAAAAGCAAGGGTAGAAACCATTCTGCTAACCTCCAAATCCTGCAACAGCGGGGCAGGCAGCAGTGGGCAGGCGGGTAGCAAGGGAGACACAGAGAGATGAGTCAGCACCAGAACTCATCCCAACCATCCCAAAGAGAAAGGCTGTGAGGAGGGGGGGAAGGGAACAAAGCCCCAGCACCGTGAGCTATTTGGAGGGAGACTGGGTAGCCAGGACCTTGTAGCTTCCTTCAGCAACATTGCTAGGGTGGCTGCCTCCCTGCTGCTGCAACCCCACGGAGGGCACGCCGAGGGACACAGGGTGACACTGAGCAGGGGGCAGCAGGGGCCGGGCCGTACCGTGAAGCTGGGGTTGCTGGGCTGGATGCGGAGCTCCGCCAACACCCAGATGCCATTGGTGAGCTTCAGAGACTGGTAGAGCATGTCCTGGCCCTCCACGTTCCTCTTGGCGATGGTGAAGATGTTGCTGCCTTGGAGCTTGTTGCTGACAGCATCTGGGTGGGCAGAGGAAGAGCTCAGCACCATTTCCTGCTGGACCCAGCCCTGCCTCCACCCCATTTTCCCTGTCACATCTCTTGGAGGGCCGTGTTTCTACAACCAGAGCAGAACGTTCCTGCCTAGAGACAGGGAGGCTTTGGGGAAAGGACAGGAGGATCCAGACCTGTGGGGATGAGGCTGGGGCTTCCCAGTCCTAGCTCAGCCCAGCACTGCCTGAATACAGGCAACCACCTCACTTGGAGGCATGCAGTCCCTAAGTTGCTGTGACTGTCTCTGTTACCACACAGCAGGAATAAGGGCAGCTCCCAGCTCCCCACAGCAGGACGAAGGTGACCACCAAGTCCAACTGTAAGGAACGTGTCTTACCAAGAGCCCTTGTGAAGGGTTTGGACTCACCTGCATTGAGGGAACAGTCCTTGATCTGGAACTGAGCCTCGTTTTCATTGGGAATGTCCTTCCAGGTGGCGAGGAACATCTGCCGCTCTGCAGCCAGAACAGAGCAAGGCACTGAAGTAACAGCGGGATCCAAGCCCTTCAAATCCCAACGCAGGGCCACGCTCTGGTGGGGCTGGGCACTGAGACACCATCGCAGCATCCCTCCAGCAGCCACCCAAGATCTGTCTCACTCAGCTGCTCACTTTTGGAGTCAGCAAGCTCAGCTGCCTTAGTGAAGAGGCTGGGAAGTGCCAGGGACTGGACAGCAAGAGCTTCCGAAGGACCAAGAGGGCAGAATGTGGCTCAAGTCACCCTGTGACTTGACACACCACACATCACACTGTGGTGATGCTGACATCCATGCTCCAAACTCCCATGGGTTTCTCACTGCCCACGGCTCCCAGCTCCAACCCCAGGGCTAAGAATGCGTTTGGGAGGATTTTAGTGAATGGATGGCACCCACGCTCCAACTCACCCATCTTCCCATCCTCCACGAAGAGGATGTGCAGAGGGTAGAGGGTGCTGAAGTAGAAGACATCAATGTTGTTCTTCACCGCAACCTGGGATGGAAGGAAGGACATTGGGATGTCAGCACATAGAGGGGAAACCTGCGGGTCCCACTGTGAGCCCCCCTGGAAAGCGTGGGTGCTCTCACCTGCAGGTTGTTGAGGGGATCCATCTTCATGACAGAGCCCACCGTGTTCAGTGGGAGGGAGATCTCCACCGACTGGTTGGGGGCAAGGGGTGCGTGCACCTGGAGAGGGGCAGCTGGGGCCAGGCCAAAGCTGGGGGGACACACGGCACTGGGTGAGGGCTGCTATCCCACAGTTATCCTTATCCCCACCCACCAGCTCTGGGACCTCCAGGAACTGCCTCATCTACCTGCACCATCATTTCCTCCAGACACGAAAGAGTCCAAACTCATTCCTGCCCACGCTGGGGCAAGCAGAGGCATCCCCCAAGTCTGCCACCTTTCTCCTCCAGATCTCCACTCATTTTTAGCGTTTGTGTACCACCTCATTTAGGAGCACCTCCTTTTTTGTGCCCCTCTGCATTCACCGGGACAAACAAGAAGCCATCCACGCCTGGGGAGGCGGTCATGCCCCAGGAAACAGCCTCCTCAGTCAACTTCTCAGAGGCTTTGGGTTGATGTCCATCACCATCGGAGCCATCAGGGAGAGAAGGATCATCACGTGAGGCTGTTCTGCTCCCCGGCAGATGCCACCACAGCCCTGCCCACTCACCCTTCCCTGAGCCGAGGAGGCGACCCCCAGCATTCCCACCAGCCAGCGCTACCACAGCTCAGGAGACGCCTCACCTGTTGCGGTTGAACTGGATTGCAAAGTCAGACATGACCTGCAGGGCCTTGTTGGTCAACACCAGGTCCATAGAGATGGCGCCCACCTGCCGGCTGAAGGTGCCGGAGATCTCCAACCCCTTGGCTTTCATGGCAGGGAGCCAAACCTGGGCAGAGACACGACATCCACAGAGGTTAACCCAAACCGAACACCTTGGTGCCTGCTGCTCTCGGCCCAAGGCAGCAGCAGCACGCCACCGGAGCGCTGCCGTCCCACTCACCGTCTTGGGTGCCACGTAGGACCCCGACAGAGCGCCCACTCCCCCGGTGAGGTCGAAGAGGTCCCCCAGGCCACTGCCGAGAGGTGCTCCCATACCAGCTGGTGCTGCGGGGCCAGGCGCTGCGAAGCCACTGCCACCCATCTGCAGGGACAAGGGAGCGTCAGGCTCACAGCGGCAAGGAGGAGTGGAGAAGAGGAAGAGGAGGAGGAAGAGGCAAGGGGTGCAAGGGCACTCACAGCAGGACTGCCTCCCACATCGCTGCGCAGCTGCAAGAGACAGAGACTGCTGTTGGTGCAAAGGGTGCATCCAAAAAGGGCTTGGGGTGACTGGGGGTGCTCCTGAGCACAGAGGGGACAGGTGCTCCTTCACATGGGTGTGTGGTTTAGCGGTGGGGCTCAGGAGATGCAGTTCTGGTTGGGTTGGGTGTTTGAGGGTCTATTCCAACTGCGGAGATTCTATTTCTAGCTGAGCGGGGCTGAGCTCAAACCTCAGCTGAGCTCCCTACACACACCAGGAACAAGAGAGGTGAAGGCTGAGTAGTTTTGGGGCTGGCTGGCTATCACAAGAGAGGCAGGGGGTCTGTGAAGGTGGACACGGGCACTGCAAGGGCTAGGGGCTAAGAAAAGGATCCATACCCCTTCCGACTCGTCCCCCATCTCCAAGCAGAAGCAGGCAAGGCAGAGAGAAGAGCCAGGCACATGCAGAGAGAAGCCAGGAGAGAAGAGACAAAAACAGAGAGAGAAAAGAAAGGCAGGAGGGAACAGGTTAGTCCCACCACATCTCCTCTTCCTCTCCCCACAGGTTTGGGCACCCTGGGGTTAGCAGGGCAGGTCCCCAAGTCATGCAGCTGCCTGCGGTTGGGGAGGGAGTCAGAAGAGGAACCCCTCGCCCC